GACTTTGTTCGGTCGTTCTCGGAACTCTGCGTACTCTCAAGACTCCCCACGCTACAACTCGCGATGCACTCGACGACACACAGACCACGGCTCCTGAATCTTCCGTTCAGTCATTCTGGGAGCTCAACACGCTCTCTCGAAGATGCGCTAACCCACTCGGCACTCGCAGCCCGGCTGTCAACTCGATGAACTCCGCAGGGATTGACTTGCTAGTTGAGACGCCAAATCGATACTAACTAACTCGCACTGTAGACGAGGCACACACACTAACTGACTGCGGGCCAGCAGGGTTTAATAGCTTTCGGCTTGTGTTCAAGAACATTCTGGGCTAAACCGGTAGGAATTCGTTCCAGAAGGTTCTCCATCCGTCCATGGCATATTGTCAAATGAACGATTTCTCACCAAATGTGACAACCCTGCCTTCACTTGTCATTTTATGGCAACCCTAAAACTGCTTTGCGGGGAAACCATCTTATGGCGCCTTGACATTTCGTAACACTGCCCCCATCCAAGGACTGCACGCAGTACAACCCTTGGTCAGAAGCTTAATTCGGTACAAACAAAACGTTTTAAAACATACAGATAACATAACTAAAGAAACAAATATTTACACTATGTGCAAGTTATATACACAAATTAAACATAACAATTTTAAATTGTATACATTAAAGTTCTGAATGAATTTCATTCTCAGTCTTTTCATTAAAATATACCCGGGTCAAATACTTTTCCACTGCAGTTTTCAGATGCATTTCTGTTTTTCATGTCACAGTCTTAAGATTCAGTCCTTTCAGACTTTTCATCCATTGGAAGATCTAAAACAGTTTGTTCACCACTCTGAAGTTTGTTCGCATCATGTGTACAGTCCTCCTTGGTATTTTCAGCAGCCGGTACATGTTCATTTTCCTCCGTTTCCTGGGAACCAACACCAAATTCTGCATCAGAATCATGAACGGAACCCGATTCTTTACAAACAGAAGCGTCCAGCTTTAGAATCAAGTCCTTGTCTACAGAATCTGCACTATGAAATGCACACCCACTTTGCGAAGTAGGTGAATTTTCTTGCAATACTGGAGCGAACTGCTTAAGTGCACATCAGCTTCTCTCGTCTCTGCATCACATGCAATTTCAGATGGTTCAACACTTACTGCCTGTGACTTCGTAACTTCACTATCAATTTTGACAAACTTAACAGTGCCATTTTCACTTCCATTTCCACTTCAGGCACTTGAGAATCAAAAGTTTCTTTCACATCTTTTATTTCTTCATGTTTTCATTCTTTTTCTTTAATCCCCCTTAGATGTTTCATCCTTCATTTCTTGATCTTTCCAAGACAGTTCATTAGCTACTTCTTTCAATTCTTCATCCTTTGATTCTTCAGATGCCATTTCTCTCATTTCCACACCGTCTTTTATGGCTCCAGTTTCTTCTGGAAACTTGACTTTCAACTGTTGGAGTTGCTCTTGGACGTTTTCGTGGCTGACATTTATTTCTTCTCATCGGGTTTTCTCTTCTCTTCCAGTCCGGCTTTCATCTCTTTCATTCCGGCTTTGATCTCAACTGTCATCTCTTTATATCCAGCTTTTATCTCATCATATCGGGCTTCCATCTTTTCTTGGAATTCAACAAAGGCAGTCACGAGCTGTGTTACTAGTTCTTCCATTTCTCTTGTCACTGGCATTCATTCTCAAATCCCACTTCTGACACCAGTTGTTACATTTTTCTCTTCTGACACCAGTTGTTGCGTTATTTTCTTTGTTTGTATGGGGTTCATATGGATTTGCAGTGAATAATGACGACACTACTTGATGAAGTATCGAAACACACTTTATTTACCAATATTAATCAGGACAGCTCCAAAACACTTTTACAGTCGTACACGCATACAAGATCTACAATAAACACACTGGAACAATCAGCGTCACAGCCTTCACACTGTCAGGCAATAACGGTGGAGACGGCTTCACTGCAAAGCACCAGAGTACAGCTCCCGACTTTGTTCAGTTGTTCTCGGAACTCCATGACCTCTCGAGACTCTACAGGCTGCAACTCGCAATGCACTCGACGACGCACAGAGCACAGCTCCCAACTCTTCGGTTCAGTCATACCCGGAACTCAACACACGCTCTCTATACGATACATTAAGATACTCCTTCAGTGAACTCGACGACCCACTCGGCACTCGCTGCCCGGCTGTCAAATCGCACTCTCAACGAGGCACACACACACTGACTGCGGAGCAGCAGGCTTTATATAGCTTTTGGCTTGTGTTCGACAACATTCTGGGCTAAACTGGTAAGAATTCGTTCCAGAAGGTTCTCCATCCGTCCATGTTATATCACCAATTTTGTCGCCAAATGGACGAGTTCTTGCCAAATGTGGCAACCTTGCCTTCTCTTGTCATTTTATCGCAACCCTAAACCTACTTTGGGAGGAAGCTATCTTACCTCGCCTGTACATTTCATAACACTGCTCCCTCTCAAGGACTGCACGTCCCGGGCAGTACAACCCTTGGTGAGAAGCATAATTTGGTACAAAGAAAACGTTTTAAAACATACAGATGACATAACTAAAGAAACAAACATTTACACTATGTACAAGTTATATACACAAATTAAACACATAACAATTTTAAATTGTATACATTAAAGTTCTGAATGAATTTCAGTCTCAGTCTTTTTCATTAAAATATACCCGGTCAAATACTTTTCCACTGCAGTTCTCAGGTGCATTTCTGTTTTTCATGTCACAGTTTAAAGATTCATACCTTTCAGGCTTTTCATCTTTTGGAAGATCTAAAACAGTTTGTTCACCACTCTGTAGTTTGTTCACATCATGTGTACAGTTCTCCTTGGTATTTTCAGCAGCCCGGTACATGTTCATTTTCCTTCGTTTCCTGGGAACCAACTCCATATTCTGCATCAGAATCTTGAACGGAACCCGATTCTTTGCAAACAGAAGCATCCAGCTTTAGAATCAAGTCCTTGTCTACAAATTCTGCACTATGAGATGCACACCCAGTTTGCGAAGTAGGTGAATTTTCTTGCAGTACTAGAGCGCCCTGCTTAAGCTGCACATCAGCTTCTCCCATCTGTGCATCACATGCACTTTCAGATGGTTCAATACTTACTGCCTGCGACTTCGTAACTTCACTATCAATTTTGACAAACTTAACAGTCGCATTTTCACTTTCTTCCATTTCCACTTCAGGCACTTAAGAATCAAAAGCTTCTTTCGCGTCTTTTATTTCTTCAGGTTTTCGTTCTTTTTCTTTAATCCCGTTAGATGTTTCATCCTTCATTTCTTGATCTTTCTCAAACAGTTCATTAGCTACTTCCTTCAATTCTTCATCCTTTGATTCTTCAGATGCTACTTCTCTTATTTCCACACCGTCTTTTATGGTTCCAGTTTCTTCTGGAAGCTCGATTTTCACCTGTTGGAGTTGCTCTTGGACCTTTTCTTGGTCGATATTTATTTCTTCTCATCGGGTTTTCTTCTTTTCCAGTCCAGCTTTCATGTCTTTCATTCCGGCTTTGATCTCAGCTGTCATCTCTTTATATCCAGCTTTTATCTCATCATATCGGGCTTCCATCTTTTCTTGGAATTCAGCAAAGGCAGTCACGAGCTGTGTTACTAGTTCTTCCATTTCTCTTGTCACTGTCATTCACCCTCAAATCCCACTTCTGACACCATTTGTTACATTTTTCTCTTCTGACACCAGTTGTTGCGTTATTTTCTTCGTTCGTACGGGGTTCATATGGATTTGGAGTGAATAATGACTACACTACTTGATGAAGTATCGAAACACACTTTATTTACCAATATTAATCAGGACAGCTCCAAAACACTTTTACAGTCATACACGCATACAAGATCTACAATAAACATGCTGGAACAATCAGCGACACAGCCTTCAATTTGTCAGGCAATGACGGTAGAGACAGCTTCACTGCAAAGCACCAGAGTACAGCTCCCATGCATACAAGATCTTTGTTCGGTTGTTCGTTTTTTTTTTTTTTTTTTTTTTGACTTTGTTCGGTTGTTCTTGTACTCCATGTACTCTCGAGACTCTCCACGCTACAACACGCGATGCACTCGACGACACACAGAGTACAGCTCCCGACTCTTCGGTTCAGTCATTCCCAGAGCTCAACACGCTCTCTTGACGATACACTAAGAGACTCGTTCGGTGAACTTGATGACCCACTCGGCACTCGCTGCCCAGTTGTTAACTCGATTGACTCCGCAGGGATTGACTCGCGAGTCGAGACACCAACTTGATACTAACAAACTCGCACTCTAGACGAGGCACACATACATACAGACTGCGAACCAGCAGGATTTATATAGCTTTTGGCTTGTGTTCGAGAATATTCTGAGCTAAACCGGTAAGAATTCATTCCAGAAGGTTCTCCATCCGTCCATGGCATATCATCAAATGGGTGATTTCTTGCCAAATGGGGCAACCCTAAACCTGCTTTGCAGGGAAGCTATCTTACCGCACCTGTACATTTCGTAACAATATGCTACACTTGGAAATGTTTCTTTTAGATTAGTTTATTATTATTATTATTATTATTATTATTATAACTTGGCAATATTTTGATGTAGTGAATTGTCAGATTCTGCAAAATAGCTATTAAGATCAGGAATAATGAAATTGGCTAGCATAGGCCTAAAATGAAACATAAATGCAAGTAAAATAACATATAATAAAACCATATAAATAAACAGCATAATGGTCCTGCTAAATTTTTGCTGCAATATAATAATCTCTAAAGTAAATATGGTGAAGAAATGCTTCATTCAGACAAAAGCTGTAGCATTTTATTTGCATTTATGTTTTGTTTAAAAAGGATCAATCAATCTTAATTTGTATTTGCAAATTAGTTGTAAAAAATGTTGATTATTGTTATTAAACATGCTGTGTTTTGTATATGTTAAATATTGGTTGTATTTAGCTTGAATTTTATTTTTTGTTTTTCCCTATCAATGACTAGGAATGCACTGGTTCTATATGTATGGCATATGGCTTAGAATCCTGTCAGTGTGTAAGAGGTTATCATGATCCTCTTGTCCGCTCTTGCGAATTGTGTTGCAAAATTCCTGGGGATGAGCTAAGTTGCAAGTAAATAGTTTTCTGTAATTAATAAATTCTAAAGATTTAAAAAAAACATTTAGGTCAGAAAAATGTTAACTTGATAATATACTTATTATTAAAAAAATATTGATGTTAAATTTGTTTCACACTTTTTCTCCAGATCCTCATTTGAATGGAATTTACCCCCTTATGATGTGCCAGATTTATATGCAAAACCTGGAGCTCCTTGTGACAATTATAATGGTTACTGTGATGTTCACCAATCTTGTAGAGAAGTATGTATTCATTATCAAATGAGTAATGTTAAAAATTTCTTAATGTATATTGTGAATGTTTGTATGACAGTTGTTCTAAATATTATTTCTTATTTAAAACTAAATATTGAAACTAATGTTAATATGAATTGTTTTATTTTCCAATTTGGCTAAAAGTTTGAGCTTTATTAATCATACTTTTTTCTCTGCCAAAGGTGTGAAAGTGAGGTAAAATAATGAATACAAGTAGTACTTTGAATTCTGATCAAAACGTACTTGCCAAAATTTTATGTTTACCTTTGAAATAAGGATTCAAAATTCACATAATGAAAAGTAATATTATCAGAAGGCAATACTAAAATTTGCACTGTAATATACTGTATCTATGAAAGTATTTCTAGCTGAATGAGACTGATGTGTTAATGGATTCACATTTTAGACACAAAATTATTCATTAATGCAGTTAACCATCTTTCATGTATTTATTTCATTGTTTTTTTATTGAAATTAGATTTCAATTTTAATTAATTTATTGTTTTCAAATGCTCTAAATCATGTTAAGCATATTCATGAAATTTATAAGTAAAACAGAGCTTGTTAAACTAATGCCCATTTTTTAAGAAATGAAGTTCATGATGTAATTGAATAGTACTAACCAAAACTGAAAGTATCTTTAAGAAAAATATAGATTTGTAAAAACACATATTATTGGTGAGTATACGTATAACCAAATGATTGTTGAGTACTAAAAAGACTGGTACCTTGCTTAAATGCATAGTAGGGCTTTTATAGAATGTGTTTTAGAAGTGTAGAGTAGTTGACTGCAAAAATATGTGGACTATGAACACTATGATTCCTGTTCGAGCTATCTATATTTGAAGGCATCTGATTTCTGTATGCCACAACATATTGCTTAGAATTCCAGATTTGTTTGATAGTGTTAAGAATTGGTAACTTAAATCGTGGAAAAACTCGAAACCTAATGAATAATTGTATAATTAGATGCCTGTAGACTTATGTGTCTGTATACTACCGAGGTAGAAGAGGCCAAATTAATTAAATGTTAAAAAAATTATGAAAAATAAGCTGTCTCCATAGCATTCACCTGTCAAACATGTTTGCAACCATATCAGGGATCACACTGGATGAACAAACTCCATATCATTATGGAGCCTGTACAGTTTCTTATTGACATGCAAGTTCCTGAATTTATAAGTTTTTCTCCACACAAAGATGCTTCTGTCTGCATAAACTGGCTGGAAATGTGACTGTCAGAATGGATTCTCATCTTTAGTCTTCAAATATCTAGTCTTTAAATTGCCAATCCTTAGGTACTGTATAGCCCTATATCATTCATTAATCCTGGGTATTCTAGTTGGATACCAGCTCCTAAAAGCCATATAATGAAGGGAATATGCTACAGTCCTCAAACTTTGAATTTCCAAGCCTTAGGTACTGTATAGCTCTATATTATTCATTAATCTGGAGTATTCTAGTTGGATATCAGCTCCTAAAAGCCATATAATGAAAAGTCCTCAAACTGATGTTTATTGGACCTGAACTCTGAATTTTAGCATTATTTGAGACAATATTATACTCCTGTTATGTTAGAATTATGCTTTTCATTTGATCTAATAATGTTTGTCCGTAATCTTTTAATGGCCATACTGTTGTCATAATTTGTACAGTACAGTCTTGAACAGCTATTGGGCTGCATTAAAAATATTTGGTAAATTCTTATTATCTGCACCTTCACTGAAAAGGCATGAATTTGTTGGCAACTGTGGAGAACTGTTAGGAACTCATTGGCAACTAAATTGCAAAACTCTTGAAATATGGAATCTAGGCAAAATTAGTAAACTCGAATTTTGACTAGTTACCAAGTGTATAGCATTAAAAGAATGGTTTTTTACATGTTAGATTTTCTATTGTTTTTATATAAATAATATAAATTGTTAATTATGTTATTAAAAATTTTAATTCTTCTGTAGATTGATCCATCAGGACCTTTAGCTACTCTTCGCAATTTGCTGATGTCACCCGAGGGAGTAGCAATTTTGAAAAAATGGATTGCTGAAAAGTGGTGGAGTATGCTTCTGCTATTTTTGGGTGCAGCAATAACTGTGGTAAGATTTAGTTTTCAACAACATATTATATATTCAATAACATATATTATTCACATATTTTGGGAAATTTTAAAACAATTTTTCTGATCTTTTTATAAAGTTTATAAAGAAATAAAATAAATAATTGTTTATATTTATTTTTTCCTTCTTTTATTTATTTATTTATTCCCTAAAGCATATTTTGTTCATTATGTATATCACATTATATATGCGTTTGAAGATAACGTTTGTATTTTCATTGTCTTTTGGATATATCATTTTGTTGAGGTATTGCTTTGCATTAGAAGAGTTTGATTAAATTTAACACATATAAAAACTTTTAGGGAATTTTATATTTTTCATTTTGTGGCTTTGAGAAACATTGTCTTCAACTATTACATTTATATTAATTTTAAGAAAATATTTTATGATAATGAAATTGTTTTCTTCATGACAAAATAATATTTATTTTAAGTGTTGCATTTTTTGCTATTATTTTAAAAAAAATTTACTATTGTAGTTAAAAGGGTGAACAGTGTTTATATATTTGTCATTTAAAATATTTACTTTGGTTAAAATGTACCTTATCTCTAATAGTCTGTAAAAATTTTGGGTGTTGATCTTCTAAATTTACAAAGGAATAACAAAGCATCAGGGATTTAAATATTTCTATGAATTGCTTTATTAGTAGCACAGAAATAAAATTTAATCATCAACAGATGATATGAAATGACCTTCAACTTTAAACATTTAATTTTAAAGGTGAAAAATACATTCAAAAAATTGTACTTTTTTTTTTTTTTTTTTTGTTGTGTGGTGTGTGTGTGTGTGTGTGTGAGTGAACATGATAAAGAAATAATGTGATATTTGTTTTACCTGTTGAGAACACGCGTCACTTACTGCTCTTATTTTGCAAAAGAAGAATCATAGTGAATCTTTACAGTATGCTTTAACTGGCACTGAAAATATACAAGAAACATGCATCACATGTGAGATGGAGTCATATGCTGGCTGATCATCTTATAGCTAACAGGATTATTGAGCTCCTCAACAACCAATGTTGGTAATAAAGGATGTGATGTGGGAGTGTCTGAAAATCTAGACCAATGAGACTCAACCTTTTTTTCTCTCGGGCCATTACATATGTTTGCTACATTACACAGGCTGCAGCATTGTATATTATATCTCATAGAATAGTAACATAAAAATAATAAACCTTAATGTATTCCAGTATTTATTTAGATATTAATGTGATTTCTGATACAAGGACACAAGTTTTGCTATTTTTGATAAAACAGGTTTATAATTATTTCATGCTACTCATACCAGCTCAAGGTGAGGATCATTGAGCCAATTTTTACCTGAGTTCTTTGCCTGTTACATTGCCAAATTAATTAGTTCTTTGTTCTGTATTGAACAGGATGATTCACAAAAATATATTAAATGGGAAAAAAAAAAAAAAAAAAAACATGAATACACTTTAGTCTTGTATTATCAAAATTCAGCACACTCTTCTACTTTTTTCTTTTCTTCAAAAATATTCTCTAGGTTCTTATTTTTCTGAGCTCAATGAATTCTTTAAATAGTATTGTGTAGTCATATCTCATTGGAGCTAGTTTAGTAATAATTCATGTTTCTACATGTCAGGATTTTATACAAACAACAAACAGTATCAGTATTAAATTTCTGAAATCTTAAGATCTGTTCTTAAATCCTTTGCATAAGGCAGCTAAATAACTGGAAGAATTATCTCTGTTTGCAAGAGCTGTAAATAACATCCATTTCAGGCCTCGCAGCAGTCCATGGGCAGCGGGTTGAATATTGAGTGGTCTCCTGTTTTGCAGATCTGAATTAGATGGAAGTGACAGACATCATGCTGATGGTTTAGCATCTGAAATGCCAAATGTGGGAGGTGCTGAAAATGAATCATTGAGTGATTTTTAACTAAGCCGCTCAAAACACCCATATGCTAGGGACATACACTTGAAGATGTAAAGTGAAAGTATAGACTATTGGTTAAACCTAAATGGAAAGAGAAAGCAAACTTTATCATAGCTCTTTGTTTTCTGCTAAATCTCGAAATTTCTAAGTTTTTCATTTATACAAAGTTGGTCATTTCTTTTAAGCAGAGAAAGAGCCAATGTCATTGTCTTTTCTGATTGCACAAATTCATTTTGAATAATTTTCCATATATTTTTTTTATCAATTTTTATTCCATTAAAGTATTTTAATCCATTCAGTGATTTGCAAAGTATTTTATGAAGAGTTAACTAGTGTTTAATAGTTAAATATTTATATTCAGGTTTGTTTTACATATGTAAATAGTGTATTATAAAGTTTATCTATGGAATTATACACACATTAATTGTAAATTTTATTTTTATCATATTTTAAAGTTTTTATAAAAACATATTTCCTCTGCTGGAGTTTTCATCAATATAAAATTTTAAGAAGTTTATAAAATCAAATACAGTTAGTCAAAAAACATACTTTAAAACAAAATTTATAATAATGAACTAAGTGTTAGTAACATTTTACATCTAAATCATGTTAATCAAAAGTGTTTAAAAATTTAATCAAACAATAAAAATATACAATTTAATAACCTAAATTATGCATTATAAAGTGCATAATTAAGTGATAATTAATGCATTGTAAAGTGATTTAAGTAAAATTTTTCAGTGAAATTTATTTTTATGTGCATCTCTGTATATGTGAGAATTTCCTGGTTTTTCGTACTTAGCTAGACAGCTATGCTGTAGTTATAAAAACTATAGAGTTGTAGGTTAAGAAGTAACATTAGAAGGTTTCAGTTTATTCATTTATTTTTCTTTCTTTTAATAATTTAAATGGTAAATTGTGTGTAAAGTAACCATGCTGCATGTATTGTTTATAAAATTAGGCTACATTTTTACTCAACAGGTGTTATCAGTGAGATTACTGACACGGAGAAATGCAAAAAGTTTCCTATCTACAATATTACCTGGCCAAACAGACTTTCGTATATGCAACATTCGATCGTCTTCTCGATCACATCCATCTTGTCTTGTAACGTCTCCATCGGGTAATTCCGGCCACATACCATTGAGCAAGAATAATAGAATCTCGCGACCACGCATCAGCGCAGCTCCTGAGAATGGTTGGGTTTGATTTGAACTTCACAGGAGAAAACTGATATTTTGAAATTGTGTCAAATATTATTCATATTGGGACTCAAAAAATGAATGAAGCTATTTTCTTTGGATAAGTATTACAATTGACTGTTATGCTGGTGAAAGGCTGTGAGTGAATCTAAATAAAGTCAGCAGTATTGAATTTGAAACATTTTGAGGAACAGGATTCTCAGTGCCATAAATAGATAGTTTTGCATAATGAAGAAAATATAGAAGAATAGCAGAAAGCAGTGCATTTTGAAATTCAGAAATTCATTTTTAAGCTTGTTAATGCATTTAAAATCAGGCAGCATCATTAAAGCTTTACAGTAAATCAACACCTGTTTTGCAGTCCTAGTAGTTCTTTATAACTAAATGAGAGATTCTTTTAAAGCCTTATACATAAAATTGTGTCCATGCAAAATAAACAAGCTAAAAGAAAAGTGATGATTTAAAGTGATTTTGAAGCTCAACATTTGTGTGCAATTATTCTTTTTTAATCATAACAAAAAATTTAAATAAAAATAAAATTAAGTTTTTAAGCTTCTCTTAAATTTGAGACATATATAGATGAGCTTGTTTTATTCAGTTACGTAATAATCTATTATTGTTAGTCCTTCATCATTCTCAGATCTCAGATAATTGACAATAAAATTTATGAAGGAAAGATAAATGTTTTAATATTATTCTATATAAAAATCACCAGATATTGTTTATATAAATGACGGGGGATTTATTATTATTTTCTGTTATCTAACAGTTGTGATTAGTTGTTATCAATAATAATGCTATATTTAGGTATTAGTTTATAATCACTTAACTTTATTATTTAGGTAGTTTTGATAAATGGAAATGTTAATTTATTTCTGAATGTTTGTTTTTGAATGTTTATTAATTTATGTTTATGAATTCTTACTTTATTCACTATGTTTATGAGCTTATGTTTATTCGTATTGTTATATTCCTAACGTAGTTTAGTGAATCAACATATTATGTCATTTTTCATTGTCATATAATATGTGATATTTAGTTTTATTTGTATTGATTATTTAAAACATGAAAGTAAAAAAAACATGAAACATGAAAGAAAAAAAAAATGAAAGTATTATCTACTAGAATTTTTACCTTTCTTTACTGGAAATTTTGCTTGGTTAGATTATATTTAAATATTGCTGATTAGGTAATTATGGGAATTGTGATACTTTATTATTCGCACATTTAATTATAAAATTATTATTGTTGGTGCTAGGAACATAAGTTATGCATTGTGCAATTGTTTGATTGAGAATATTCTAAAGGCAAAAATATTAAGCATGTAATTTTTAATATTATTATCAAATATTATGTGCAGTTGTAATTTTATATACTATTTTCCTTACCTTTGTTTTCTCCTAATTGACATTATTTGAATTTATGAGAAAAGAAAAATATCTTTAATTGAAAAAAATTAATGTAAAATTCAAGATTTTTTAAATTAAAAATAGGATTGTTTTTGAAACTCATTTCTGCTTTTCTTTTTGTATGTAAGAATATTCTGTTTCACTCATTTCTAGTGAATACATGTAACAGAAATAGGAATTTTCAGGGAAACATTCATTAGCTAGAAGATTTTTAATTATTTATATATAATTTATTAAGTATCTAGGTATATCCAAAAGCTTCTGGCCTTATATATTTCTAAAAGAAATAGACACTTTTAAAAATTTATTTTTCAATATAATAGCTTTGTACTTTGATCCACTTTTCACATCATTCGTTAAGCAACTCTGTGCACCCTAAAAAAGTGTAATGCTAGTTTGTGGCTAAAAATGAACATAAAGTATGTTCTTGAAATGTTCCATTGCTGTTCTTTTCACATTACTGTCATCATTCAGTCTCTTTCCATGAAGGCCAAACTTCTGAAATTCTAGAGAACATTTCTTTAAAATTCATCAGGAGAATCCCTTGACAATCTGAAAAGATGGCCATTATCTTTTTGATTGATTGCAGCACCATTGTTTTTCTTGGTGGTGCTTCACATAGTTTTCTCCACTCTGTTGATTGCCTCTTCAATAAAGGATTGTAACACAGGACCATTGTTTCATCACAGTCATGATTAACTGTAAAAATTCATGATTTAATCATACAAATCATGACAATTCATAAATTGTCATGATTTGTCTAAATCATAGAAGCTTTTGAGCTGCAATAAATGTTCACAACAAATGATACATTGTTATTTTTGAATTCTTGAAAGAACTTGAGGCACTGATAATGCAGAGACTTATCAATGCTCAACTCTGATGTTCATGTGAATGTGTTTTTGTTAGAATGTGCAAAATTATCAATCTTATTTTAGATTCATCCAATCTTTCTGCTGATGGCTTAATTTTTAATCTATCACTCAATATTTTCTCCTGGATACAAATAGTATTTTGTAATGCCAGTGCCTTCAATAGTCGAACCAAATGAAAATCATCATCTATGAATCCCTGGGCCATGTAAAATTGTTTTAATGATTTTTTCACTAGAAAGAAGAAAGATAAATCACCATGCAATGTGGTCTAAACATTGCTTTATTTCCTTGACTTTCTTTTGTCAAAAATTAATCACAGAATAATACTCAGTTTTAAATATTTTATAAATAACTATCATGTCACTTCATTCAGTGAGCAGTCTGAAAAGAACATAACCAATTTCACTAATATTTAAATATTAATAAATAATTTAAATATTCAAATTTATTCATTTAGTATTATCACTACGTGTATTGTATAGGATTAATTTATTATCAAACCATGCTTTATATATGAGGGTGGAATCTTTTGGATCTGCATACATAATTCACTTGTAATTGAATAAAAATATTCAACTTAACATTTTCTCACACATTGGTTCCATGTAAGTGGGATTTCAGATTTTTAATTTTTTAGTCATCCTAGATACAGAAATGTGCATAGTTCTTTGTATATTATGATCTCTATATGAAATAAAGTGAACTGTAAATGAATATAAGAATTTAGATTATAAAATTCTTAAAGACATGTTATGTAAATGATTATAAGACTATAGATTATAAAATTCTTATAAATTCTTTATTGAGAGCAAATTGAATAAACAAAAGATTCTGATTAATTGAAAGATTTTCTTCCCTGAAAACACTTTTTTGTGGCTAAAAATGAAATTGATCTATTTACAACTATTAATTCATCTAAGTCTAATATTTTAAAATGTCAAAAGAACCTATATGATGATCTTTTCAATGATTTTAGTAATGAAGATAACGACCATAGGGGCTTATTTTTTTTTCATTTGCTTATTTCCATCATAGAAATTTTCTTGATTGAAAAGCATTTACTTACTGTCTGATACATCTTATTTCAATTTTTGGTGCTATTTTGTCCCTTTTTCCACCTGTTTTTTTTTTTTTTTTTTTTTCCTTTGTTATTTAGCTGCAACATAAGATTATGTAGCTAAGATTCATGAAAGCTAAAGAACGACATTTAAATCTATTATTTTTTCCTGCCTTTTCACATCCATGGTATCTGATTGTGTTCATGGAAGGAGTGACCTTACCATTTGCTGAATACCTTTTTTTGAGTTCTGTGCAAATTGTATTTTATATCTGTAGTATTTCATGCAGGCAAATATTACTTAAAAGTTTTCCATATGATGTAGCTATCATTCATCCATTTACTTTGCAATCTTATCCACCACTCCAAAGGCAAGCTTATGTATATGTAACAGAAAATGTATGACAGCATTATATAACTTATTCAAGAAGTTAGAAAAAATAAAATGCCATTAGAATAGTTTCAATATACCTCTTTATTCTGGAGATATGTGACTTCAAAGTATTATGATGTAATTTCTGGCTGAGTAAATGGAGGCTCACTGAAGATTTATTCTCAATTATATTCTTTTTGTCTGCAGATCATCATACTTGAAACACATCTGTTTCTTCTTATTTGGCCATATGAAATCAGTTATCTACCAGGAGCTTTTAGAGAGGACCTCATTGTGTGCATTCAGTTAGCCTTTAATAAACCTGGAAGACACTAGGTATTTCAGAATGTGTTAGAATGCAATAATCTGAAGATGCAGTGCTTTTTACATCGATGTCAATAGTTGGCAGTTTTAGTACTAACTATGAAGTACATCATGCTGGACACTGTGTTGACATACACATGTATGAGCTTTCATCTGCATTACTCAGTAATGTACTATAATAATGTAATGGTTTGGATTTTCCTCTGCGTATAAAAAAGAATGTACCATGATTAATAATTTGATAATGTAGGCATCATTTTATTAAACATTTACTTGCATGAATTATATTTACTTAACACCTGGCATGCATTTGAATCTCAGGCACAGTTACTGAGAGAAACGATTAGTATTTCCTGGTGCCCATTATATGTTTATTCTGTACCTATGTGGCTTGTTTTACTTATCAAGTACTGTCACTTTTGCAGGCATTAGTTTGCATTGAATGCTATTACTGCATCGTGGTATCTGTTAGTTTGCATAGTGATATCGTAGGAATTTTAGATTGCCTTATCTCATGAATGAAGTGGTGCAGCAAAACTATTGTAACAGCATTTTATTTCTGAATATTACTCTAAAAATCAGAGTTGAGTATTGCTATTAATAGTCAGTGACTTTATGTGGCTAGTTTCTATATACTGAATGGCAGTATACTGGAAAAATGTTTCTATAATTATAAAAATACAGTTTTGAAGGTGAAACATTTTCAGAATTATTTGTTTACAGTTCATTTGAATGAATGTATGAAGTAAACCACGAAGATGTATTTAAAGTGCTTTTATTATCAAAAGATTATTATGTATTTTATTATGATATAAAACAATATTTCATAATGGTAAGTTATTATATTATAGTGATAGCATGTAAGTAGAATTTTAAACAATCAGAAAGATACTCTTCAAAATTTGAGCTTTCTGGTGAGACATAGTCAGGATCTAAGATCTGTGGAATGTGCATTATTCAAATAACAATTTTATGAATTTTTTCGTTTAAACGAAATTAAGTTTGAATTTTTGGAAATGTGATTTGTTTGAGATAATAATTTAATGAATATTTTTTGAAGATAAATAAACCTTGTCATAAACCCATTGCTTATAAATGTTCTATGCAGTTGATGTAAGCTATGATATTTAAGAGCACTGTCTTCCATAGATAGTGATTGAATGAATAAGATATTAAATTTTTTATGGATAAAATGTGCCTAAGATATTATACATTGAATAATATTCAAAAGATTCAGTAAGAAGAAAGAATTGCCTGTGCTTTTACTATAAAATTTTATTTTTCATAAAATAACATATATTCAGTCAATGAAGGCTGATAAAAATATGTCAGATATTCATTTATCTAAATTATTTCAAATCTTAGTACAATGTTGTATCTCTAATTTTTGGATTCTTGAAATTGTGACTTACTAATTATCTATTAAGGCCTTTCCAAAGCTGCATTATGGCAAGGCTCTTATTTTGTTAAAAATTGAAATTTATGCATTGTGCCAAAGAATTTAACTGTATTAGATAATTGTGTATTCTGCACTAAATATGTTTATATGTTTCACACATTTTGATTTATATCTTTATTTCTATTGAAATAATTCTATTTCAAGGTGTCTAATGCTGCTGTGGTATAGTTAAACACTGTGGTGTCATATTGAAGGTTTTAATGGTTATAAAGAAAATTTTGTCTTATTTCAAAGCCATTAACAAAATTATGTGAACATGTTTATATTTAGTGTAAATATAGTTTTTCAGAATTTAGTTTCAATTTCCTGAGAAATGCAAGGTGCTTACATTTATATTTTTAAAAATAATTTTCTTTAATCATAAGAAATGATTGATTTGAACATTTTGCAATTCCTGGAGTTTTTTTTTTTTTTTTTATTATTTATTTACTATATTATTATTTAATTTTTTAGTTATTTGTTTTCTTCATGGTTTTAAGAAAATATTTACAAAATCGCACTTTTTTTGGATTTCCTTAGGTTAAAATCTGTCTTTAAAGAATATAATGTTTAATTTAACATTTAAATCAAGTAGGATTGTTAAAATAGTTCTTCTAAACTGCATGGAAAGTAAGTGCTTCACTGACAATTGTTTTATCTATTAGATAAAAAATGAACTTCTACTCTAAACACTGTTTATATTTTCATGTTTATTGAAAGAAATACCCTCATAACAAGCATGTAATTCAAGCTTATGTAATTTACTACTGTACCCTGCATAAAATTTTGTTCACTCATCTTGTGTAGTTTAGAGAAGACAACTTTACTGGTGGTTATTCCAGAGTCTTAATGCATAATTATATATGCCCTTGCACAAACATTACTACTTATGCAGTTTTTACTTTTATGTATATATTACATTAGAGGAGTTGAAGTTATTTCCCCCCTTGATGTAATTAATTGTGCAATTTAATGCATTTATAGACCATGTCTCTGCTGTGATATAATTCTAGTCATTTTTCTATATTGTTGTTATGTATTAACGCATATTTTACTGTGTTTGGTTTTAAATACACCAAAAATATGCTGTTTTATTCAGATTATTGTTTTTTGTTATTGTTGTTATTTCCTGTGCTTACATACCAGTAATATGGGCAGTATAACAAAAAAATTGCTAAAGTGAATAAGAAATAACATTTAAAATTAATTGACAGTAAAATCTCTTAATATCTAATTTCATTCCATTATCTGTAAAATATGGTAAAGTGGAGAGGAACTTAATAGAATCAGTAAGTATGATTAGCTGTTATGTAGACAGTTTTTACAAGGAAATTAAATAAAACTAATAGTAATTGCAGTTTTTGAGTTAAAATGGATTAGAAGAAATGAGTCACTGTAAAGTAGAATGTTTTGTTGTAAATTGTAATTTAATTTTAATTTTTTGTGCATTTTGATTTTGCAGTCTTAATGATAATTAAAATATATATAAATATATAAAGCAGTTAAACAAACTCTTTACCTCAAAGATTGTGGGGCATATGATAAAAAAAGCATGCTGAAAATGTAACCCTTATAACATCTATAGTTTGAATCCAATCTTGATGGCATGCAGTTTGCTGACTTTGACACACCTTGCAAGGAATGCCTGCCAACTTTGAACTATCTGTATTTCTTTGGAGAAAACTTTATTTAAATTGCTCTTCTGAAAATACACAGTAATAAACTGCTATTGTGCTGTAGAGAAACAAATAAATATATGTAAGTTATATAGATATTTAGTGGTATCTGGATAATCTGCCAGAATTTAAAAAGGCTGTTTTCAGAGTCCCCATAGGATCAGTTTTCGAAGTGAGGAAATAAAAATAATGAATAGATATGTATAGAACCTTAATATTTATCTATTTATTCATGTATGAGGTTTATTCATTTACATTTTATTTAATGACTTCATATTGACAAAGAATGCAGGAAAGTATGTATTCTTTGTCAGTAGCAACTAACTTAATAAGGAACTTATTGAAAAATGTGACAAGAATTTTGCAAAGTTCTGAAAATTATCCTTTTGTAGGAAGAAGCTTGATATTTTAGGTTTACATTATGCAGGTGCTGTATATTTCATGTGGTAATCAATATGCTGATTATAAATTAAACATTAAAAAAAAAAAAAAATCTGAAACCTTTCGGATTTTAAATTATGTCCAAAGGGGCGTTTTTATAACATTTTGTGTGTTACCTTTATTTATTAACTATCATGTTCTTTGCACTTAAAATTCAGTTCAACAGCAATGTCGCAAAATAGTTTTTAAATGAGCATATCTTTAAAATTTCTGATTCACAGTTCCGTGCGCTGGAAATAAAAAGTCCCCCCCCCCGGTAGAGTGTTGCCATTGCTCGCTTTTAAATTGTTGAGTTTGTTAATCAAAAATTCGTTAAAGTTTTACAAAATATGAAATTATTAATAAACAAATTCCAAATTTCAAATTTGGGTTTTCAGATGCCCATATTTGCAGTAGGATTACGTCATTCAAAATTGGATGGCTCTAGGTACCATTGTTTTATCACAATGTGAGAAACATACATACATTTATGCATTATTTAATTTCTGCAAATATAATGCAGGACTCTAACATTTGGTGGCAACAATTTGAAAAGTGATATGCCATTCATAGTGATTTGACACAAAATCGCAAAACATAAACAATAGTCCTTCAGGGACAAAGCCCCTTTAGACTAACAATGCAGATGAGGTACATTGAAGAAATGATCAAAATAATAATATATTTTACAACAGTTTTATATATCTAACATATTCGTAAAAGCATTAGATTGAAAATTGGGGCAGGGAACTTCAGTTTACATGCCAAATGCAGGTCATCAGCATGATTAGATTAGTTTAGATTACGACAAAGCACATGAGGACTGTCTGCATATGAAAAGGGATACCTTCATTGAAAATGTACTAAGAATTAGTTTATATTCATGTTACATATGGAGAATCTCTCGAAAATTCAAGTACATCTAGCCAGTTTGCTAGGATTTGAGCCCTGGTCTAGCCCACAAGTATCTAATGATTTTGCTGCTTGGTCGCTGATGAGCCCGTCTAAAGGATTTTCCAATAAGAATGATAAGGTTTTTGAATCAAAAAATAAAAACTATTTCAGATACAACCAAACTTTTTTATTATTTTGAAGTACAATATATGACATGACGTTAAGTTTTAAATAAAACATAATTTAAGTGCTCGCGAGTATATTCGATGAACCCAATTTTTATCATTGTATGCAATAACTCAGGTCTAATGTTATGAGTACAACATTCGATATTTATTCTTAATTTTTCAAGTGTTCATGGTTTATATGCATAGACTGTTGATTGTTTTTTTGCTATATGTCAATAATGGCATTAGCAGAGTGGCGTGGCACTGACTTGTTGGAACCACATGTGCTCCTAAATCAGTGTGCTCCAAATTCGCCTCCCCCCAAAAAAATCATTATCACTTACTGTAACTGCATCTTCCCTGCGTTTTGGAAGCAAGGAAATAACAGTGATACTTTGTCATAAATCACACCATACAGTGATCTTTTACAAATGCAAGGACTTTCATATGCATCTCTTTGTCTGGCTTATCCATTATCAATTTTGCTTGTTAACATACTCATTCAAGTAGAAATGAGCATCTAAGAAGATAATTCTTTTGTTCAAAATGACATTCTTGAATCATGTATCGCTAGAGCATGCTAAGCACAAATCAAAATTAGTGATGGTTTAAACATAGTTGTTATTTTGTTTTAAAATCACATCATTCTTATTAGAACACCTGTTATAAATAATTAATGAGCACTTACTATAACTTAAGTTAACCGTAAACAATTTGATGAAATAAAGTAGTAAATTACAAATTTAGTAGAAATATTAAAGAAGTAATGTTGATAAAGCAGTGAAATTATTAATTGTATCAGTGTCTAAGTAATGCATAAAAAATCACAACTGATTCTACCACTTTAGAAATGTGGAGTGTTAAAAAATTAACTGCAAAACTGGTGTAAATTTACGGTTGGAAACATATATATTTAACACTGGAACATTGTTTTGGTGAATATTTTGTCTATAGCTATCAAAAACTTCATCTTAAAAATTATTTTAGATTATCTATAGGTATTGAGCAGCTAATTTTAACTGATATTGTTTTCAAACCTGTTTGAAGTTCAAGGTTGGCAAGCTGCCTTGTTAGATGCATGCAAACCAAAGCTGGTGGTTTATTAGTTTTGTAAATTTTAATGGTGCATTCTGCAGGAACAAGGATAAGTATAAAAACTATTAAAATATGTATTTAGTGCATGAAGCAAATTTTTTAAGTAAATTTGTGTGTTATGATTATATTTTAGGTATTAAGTATAATTTTCTATGTGTTTTGTTTGTATTTCAGTAGTGTTTTTCCAATTACATGTAGTGTTTTTGGTACTTAATTTAACATTAAATGATTTTATGTAGTTAAAGCATGCTTAAGAGAGACAAATGTAATGGAACAAGTATGGCTAAAGAACATACTCTACATGTTTTTCTAAAATTTTGCCTTTTTTACTAGTATCTGCCAAAATTTTCTTTTTATCAAAAAAATCAGATACTTACGTACTTTCCTGTCGATCATTTTCGACAGATAAAAATTGTTGCCAAACAGTGTAATTTAGCTGTAGTTTTAGATGAGCGTGATATCACAACATACTTGTAAGTTTTTCCTCCAATTTTATGTAACTTTAATCCTCATTAATACAGTTTAATTCTTGTAAAGAAGGTTATAAGGTAATTTATATTCCTAAGTTTTTCTCCTGCATTTAAAAAAATGATTAAAATTTGGAATCTGCTTTGTACAAAACCGCAAGGAGTAAAATATTTTCAGAATTAATGGATTTGGTTATAGTGATGCGCATGCACTTACTGAGGGTTCGTCAAAATGGCACGATGAAAAACAACACGAAACCACGCAGCATCACTTAGATTCATATTTAAACGAATTTTATGTAAGCTTGAGTTTAAAAAGATTGTGAAAATTTATTTAAACTCTATTAATGATTTTTGGCGGCCCAAATTATAAGTGCTTGATTTAATGAATTTGTTTGTTAACTAATATAAAAGTTTGAGATCATATTTATTTAAATATTTGACACATAAATCTATTGATTATTTAATTAAGCGATCTGTGATTATATAATTAAATCAAGAGCGATTTATTAATTCCAACTTCCATCGGAATGGTTGACTGAAATTCGGCGGTATTTTCCCAACTTTCAGGATCGACAGGAAAATACATAAGCACCAAAAAGTGTATGTGTAACAAAATTACTGATCCACAGAGAATTTGATACAAAACTTTTCTATGTAAAAGAGATTTTACTGTGTTAAAAAAAAAAAAAAAAAAAAAAAAAAAAAAAATGTGTAAGATTGCTTTATTTTCTTTGCTTTATTTTCTTATTTGGTGTAAAATACACATAATATTCACTATGAGATCAGATTCTGTAATCCTCAGTGTAGCAATGTTCGAAAGATTCATCATTCCATTTAAATAATAAGCAGTGTCGACAAACTGAAATATTTAGCGAAGTATCTCTTATGGTTAGAAACTTCGAGCACCTAGCTTATTTTTTAAGCATAATTGCAATACCTAGATTGTTTATAACAGAATAACCTGCATTTAATTCTGTAATTCGGGTAAATAAGGGATGTAATATATTCCACAGGTTTTTTTCATCAAACCTTAACTAGTTCATCTTACAATATCCATCTCTAGAACATCACACGGCTAGATTCTCTTAATGCACGAATAATGAGAGGTAGATCCTAGTGTTAATTTAAGCACCCCGCAGCATTTATGACTGGGATCTTCATTCTCTCTTAAATTGTGGTCATTTATGATTCCTTTATCTCCTGTAGATTACTTACTATCTATTTTTCACTTCTGAGGTTTAATGTGCAATAACTGCTTGAGCTATCCTGTAGTATCAGCATAAAATCCATTATAAATAGAAATCCAATTGAACTAGAAGCTGTTTTATGTCTAACCTTATTCTAGTTGTAGTTGATATGAAATGCAAGATTGTTTTATTCTTATTTTTGTTTTCTTTGAAAAAAACAAATTACCTGCACTTATATCTGCAATGACTGTATATTGTTAAAGCTTGAACAATGCAATTTATGGCCAGTGCTGTGAATCTTGCTGATGCGTTCTGTAAAGGACATAATGAAAATTGTTGTTTTTTGAAATAAACTGTGATATTATAATGATTTGTGGTTTTAATTAAATCATTTTTATTAAACAAACTTCAAGTATGTTACATGATTTTTATCTGCGTTTGAACTATCTTACGTGATTCATGTGGTAGTTAAATTCTATTAAATTCCTTTTAAATTCAATTTCTATTCTAAAAAACCGTTCGTGACTGTTTTCTTCTGGACGGTTCTTCCAGGAGTTGCGGAGTTGAATCGTTCACGATGGGTAGTCTCGCCCAAAGAACGTGCATGTTCTTTGTCTCTGCTCTGAGAATATGTATGCTAAGAACGAAAGCTTCACCAAAGCAGGAGTGGCTCCTTCAGACCGCAGAGGGAAAAATACTCTAAGTTTACTTTACGGGGGCTCTCCATCCTTAATACTTTTTTGTGCATGCACGAAGTAGCTGTCGGATCGGTGTCGAAGCAGATCCAACTTTAAAACCTTTTTGCGCATGTGCGAAATAGTTGTCGAAAGTCACGTTTGTCAAGAAAGTTCTGTGATGCCATTTTTTTTCTCTTCCTCCAAATCGACTTATATCAGTGACCTGCGCAAACAGATAAATTAATGGATTATTTGTTTTTAGTAACAAAATCTACGAAAATCTGAGTTTGAATAATCTCGAAAAGTGTGAGTTCTTTGATTTTGTACCGTATTCCTCAATTTCCCGTACACCTCGCGATTTGGCGACGAGAATTTGGTCCTCCGCGATATAGCGACACAGTAGGCAAACTGATTTACATTACATCTGTAGAAGCTTTCCTTCTTTACACACACGATCTTTGTATCAGCTTTCGTAAACGATCAGTAGTCAAGAAATCTGGCTGGATTTTTTTTTTTTTTTGTTCAAATGGTTAAGTTTATAATTTTATAACTTTAAATTTGCTTGAATCTTTTTTCTTAATTTTTTGATTCGACAATGTGTAGGAGGAAACAGTAGGCGCTTTTAAATTATTTTAACTTTGATGAAAAAATTTCAGACATCAATTTGAAGCA